TTATATATATATATATATATATATATATATATATAATTAATAATAATTATCAATAATCTTCATAATTAAGTACAAGTGCAGTTTCATAACGCAGCGGCTTATGGCTGCAATAATTATCTTGATGAACGAAACTACCTACAAGTTCAATATTGCAATTTTTTCGGTCGTCAAGCATTGAGTCGCGGTCTTCATTGTCGATTTATGCAGATTTTATGATCAATGATCAGCATGTGAAGGGGATCGTATTACAGCTATATAACGCAAGTCAGCACATGCATTATCATAATCTTGAAGGTGGCTCTATTACGGCGCTTATTGCGAATAATCGCGTTAACTGCGCCGCTGCGTTGCTGCAGCTAGTGTCGCTGTTGCTGCTGTTCCAGCGGCTCTCTGTTATCACTTCCCGACACATTTCGCAGCCGCGCATAGTCGCCGTTAATCTTGCCGAGCGAGCTCTCGGGGAAATTACAAAATTGCCGTGCGCACGACCGTCTCGATAAACGCGCGATTATTGCGATTAACCTTAACGATCGCGAATCTCGTACGCGATCCGAGTTCACTCCGGTAACAAAATTAATAAAAATGGTGAAAGTAAAAAAAAAAAAAAACAACTATTTTTAGCTCTAGAAATAAGAAAACGGTATGTATGAAAAAATGAAAATATATCTAACCCTCGCCTCTCTCGTTACACTTTGCGCTAGTTTATGAAAAAATAAAAATTGCGATAACTTATATCTATTCTGTGGAAGTTATTTATATATCTTTTTTGCTCGTTTCGTTTTGTTACTCGCGCTACTCATTATTACTTGTTTACGCGTATATATAAATAGACATACAAAAGCCAATTTAAACAATACTGTTATTTGCATTTAATTCCTTGTCATGGATAATGTGAATAAAAAATGTTGTTACAGATAAATAAGCCAAGCTTTTGTAAAATGGAATACACGTTACATTTCACGGAAAAATAATCATCGTTAAATATTCGTTCCGTATCTCTGTTTCATAATTAACGAAATGCATGCTTTGAAACATGATATATTCTAATATTCATTGCGGATATTTCATTCCTCGTTTTTAAAGCTTCATGGATTTTGTCCGACAGTTTAATGCCATACCTTTTCATCAAATGAAAAGCGGTACGTTGTAACAATAGAAAGAAAATATAGTCTGTTGAAACTTCCAAATTCATCATTAATATATTGTAACGCGATTGCGTTGCAATATTCAAATACATGTCTTGGTCCATGTTTTTATAATAATAATGTATATTTTTGATGGATAGAACGAACGATGTAATTCATATAACAACGGGTGCAATATCTCGTGCGATAAAAAAATGTACAAATGTGCGACTTTTTGTAAAATTTTACGTTAAAAAATTATTTATTTGATAAAATGTCAAATAAAATTTTTATTACTTTAAATATAACACGCATTCGCATTATATACAGATATACTTCAATTTTCATTTTTGTAGATTTCAATATAAATCACTACTTCTACCTTTTACATGTTTTTCCATTAAAACGCGACATCTGCGTCACGTAAAACATTTTCCCGGGGATCCCTTCAATTAATCAAGCTGGCTCTCTTTGTGCGCCCGGCACACGATACGCTACAATATTCATACTTCATCCGTCATTTTGGAAGTTTTCCCGGCTGGTAGCATCGCTTCCAGAGGACCAGCTAGTCACGTTGCCAATATCGCCGTGACAGCGCAGCGTGGCCTCGTTTAATTTTTACTTTCGAAAGACGAAGGATATGGATCTACCACAGATGAAGGAGAACGGCATTCGTGAAATCTTCATTACTAGATCTCTACTTTAAGAGTTTAGCATGATGCTCATAAATTAAATCAGAATGAGCGACGTCATGGCTGTTTTATTATTATCAGATTTATCATTTTAATTGCATTTTTTAGTACCTTTCTCACATTTCCCGCAATCAAATTATAACGTTTTGTATCTATGTATATATGTTATTACATTTTATTACGACATTATATCTTTATATTTTATAATTATATACAACTGCATCATTACTATTATTAACTTTCACCACAATTATATTATTATTAATTTTTTATAAAACAAAATATTTTAATCTTTAATTTCAAAATTTATGATTGTAAATTATAAAACAATCGGAGTTAACGATTAATAACAGATATATAATTTTATTAATTTTAACACTTTCTCTTTCGGATATTATAATTCTCTAATATTATTTAAACTAACAAAAATATTATCAAAAATTATATTTTTAAAACAGTTTTTTAAAAAGAGATAGAATCAGATTAAAATAATGAATATAAAATAATTGCTTTTCATAAACATTCATTATTATTAATAATAATAATAATAATAATAATAATAAATGGCAAAGGTTAAGTGTAGAGCATATATACATAGATAGCATATCTTTCGTTTACAAAACTTGTTATTTTGTAAAATTAAATATATTTATTACACAAAAACTCATTTTTAGATTAATTTTAGATAATATTTAATTCTTAGAAATCTATATCTTTATGTGTGTTGTGCTTTGTATGATAGACTGTGCTCTTATTATTTTATTAATTTTATCTTTATTAAAAATTCTGTAAATTTTTTATCATAAAAAAGCATAAGCAAATTCACAATTTTAATTAATATAAAATATATAAATAATTTATTATTTACATGCGAAATGTTTTGACTAATGTTTTGACTATCGATATCTTGTTAATTACAATATTGCAAAATCCTATAATTCAGTGTTTATAATTTTTTATTAAGTTATCTCTTTCGCAATTTTTATTTTTGTACGTTGCATAAATACAATATTTACCAGGAAAATATGTAGCGTCTTTTTAGTATAGATAAACATGAATAAATATAAAATAAAAGCAGATAATGCATGTATACGGAATCTAATCTTTTATGACGTAAACAATTAGCTTACAAATTAGTATTAATTTAAAATGCATCAAATCATACACTTTCAAAGATCGTCAAAAATTAATTTCAAAAATTTTATTAGATTAAGTATGTTGCTTTAATTAGTATCAATCAATTTGTGTTCATATTTCATTTTTATTCCTAAACAAGTATTTGATAAATTCCTTATTTTATAATCAACAATTATGTTATCATAAAATCGTGGCATAACATTCAGTTTTATTTTTTAAAAGTATCAGCTTCAAAAAATTAGATTTTTTTTATTTTCTCATGCCAATTTTCGATTAAAATAATCAGACTGTCGATAGAAAATAATAATTTGAAAATTTTATATGATTATATTATTTTTAAAAATAGATGAAAATAATGATTTAATATACTAATAGAATATAGAATACTAATAGAATACTAATAGAATATAGAAATATTGCCAAATTATTATTGAAAATCCTTGATAAAAGTGCTATAAACGATATTTTCCTTCTTCAAAATTGTATGTCATTCATGATTAGCTTAATAATGATTAACAGTTAATTAACATCTTGAAAAATTTATCTATTTGACATTGAACTCTTTCAAAATTTTCTGAGTATATCATTGACTCACTCTTCCGATCAATCAACCTCAACTCACTCTTGTGCTTCGAGCTGCTCTTCCACAAACCCCTGAAGAACGACATCCTGGCCCAACGCAACACCAACAATTCCAGCAGCTCCGAAATCTTTCCCCTCGTCACGATCTGCCTCGCCAGCTTTTTCCCCTTCGAGAGCTCGTTCGTCACTCACAAACCTCGCTGTCAGTCCCGCGCCACGTCCAGAAAACATATAAATCAAGCGATTTGTTCGTTCTACGAGTCACCGATAACCAGTCTTCACTAATGCAGCGTATCTCTGGCTTTCTTTAGAAAGCTGCGAGATTAAGATCGAGAAGAAATAGCGGACAACAGCTGCTCGTTTGACACAGGATCTTTTCGAGATCACCCGCGAAAACGTGTCGTCGCGGTGGCAGCGCGCCGCGATATGAACCGTCCGGAACGGTTTATAGCGGCGCTTCGCCCTTGCGAGTGAACATGCGCATCCCAGACCGTCCTTGTCGACCGTCTCTCTCTCTCTCTCTCTCTCTCTCTCTCTCTCTCTCTCTCTCTCTCTCTCTCTCTCTCTCTCTCTCTCTCCTCTCTCTCTCTCTCTCTCTCTCTCTCTCTCTCTCTCTCTCTCTCTCTCTCTCTCCTCCTCCTCCTCCTCCTCCTCCTCCTCCTCCTCCTCCTCCTCCTCCTCCTCCTCCTCCCTCCCTCCCTCCCTCCCTCCCTCCCTCCCTCCCTCCCCCTCCCCCCTCTCCTCCCCCTCCCTCTCTCATTCTTCCTCTCATTCTCTCTCTATTTCTTTCTCTTTTTCTCCCAACGTCAGCCCGGATTCCGGTTCCGCTTCCGAACCGGATCCCACGCCAAAAGGATAAAGATTATTTTCACGCGTTCCGCGGCGCGGAACCTATGACAACGAGATCGGTATTTTGGATGATTTTCGAAGTAAAAACGCTAAGATCGTAGATCCGGAAATTTCGCATCGGGGATGAGGCTTCGGACTGACGGAGAGAAGAGGCGAGAAGTTTCAGATCCGGAAATGCTAAGATCAAGATTTCGAAGAGATGAAAAAAATCGAAGAGAAAGTTCTAAACGTTCCGTAAATTTGTTGCCGAGATAAAAGTTTTGAATTTACGTGCTGAAAATAAAAATGTGAATCTCCTCGATAGTTCAATGAACTTCGCATCGAGAAAATAACATTTTTAAATTGATGGGAATGAAAACAAGAAGAAACATATTTATTTTGTATTCGGCAAAGTGATAAAGCGCGCTTGTATATATTTTTGTGATTTTTCCGAAATTGTCAGAATGAAGAGGAAAAAGTGTTCCATATTGATCGTAAATGAACGGAAATTGGGACAAGATTAATTCTGAATTCAAACGACATTAAATAGATAAAGGGTAAAAATTAACGTTGGATTAAATATCGTTGAAGCGACTGTCGTCGGGCGGGCTTGTGGAGCAATTTAGTATTCATCTCCGTCGACGACATAGTTACCAAGAAATTGATGCGTTGCTCGGGCACGCTCTAGAAACACGAGGGTCTCACTACCTAATTTCATGGGAGATGCCCGCCCTGAACTTAGGAACCAAACTTCGTCCGATAATCTGGCAAGTAAGAACCCCGCCCAGTCAATCTAACATGCTTGCCGTTTTTGCGTTTCCGCAGATTAAAGCGAACAGCGAAAAGTCATCGTGTATTGAAAGGAAAGGAAAGGAAATTTCGGCACAAAAGTAATTAACATTGTAATAATACAGCTTAGAATGTTCGAAGATATTTTGTTAAATTTTAACGATATGTGAATTTAAAAAAATTTTACATTGTGACAATCATAAGGCGTCGATATAATAATTTCCTCCAATTTTTGCAGTATAAAGTGTGACGTCGGTTGTTATCGGTTTTCTTGTCAAACACGATTAACGCTTGAATAATGTCGGAATTGTCGGGAAATAGAAATTAATCAGAGAAACTGATTTCGTGAAATTTCCCGTAATCGAAAACCTTCAGTTAACCCAAAGTTATCGAGTATAGGCTTCCTAATCGGAATCGGAACATCGAGTCCGAAATTCCCGGCCAAACCTGAAAATTTATCAGGTGTTTCCCGGTAGAAAATACGAGAATGAGAGAACCATTCGATTATCGGGGATCGTTATGCGTTCGTTAGCGCGCGATTGACTTTAGACGACGGCGGCTCGAATCGATTTCACGTGCGCTCGACGAAATTGCCAATCAATCGAGGAGAATCGGGGAAAACAACTGTCCGCCGGCTTGGTAAATTACCCGTATCTATCGGCCGCATCGGATTACGAGTTGAACGCACCAGCGAAAATAGATCGCCACGAGATAATCGTACACCAGATAAAACTGCTATTTAAAGACGAAGAAAAAGAAAGGGGAACGAGTGAAAAAGATGTATTTACTGCTGCATGACTAATTAGTAACGGTTGAGAAATATAAATAAAATATTGGGAAAATAAGAGACACAACAAAAAACGTTAATTAATGGAATAATTAATATTCTCAAAGAAGAAATTTTTTAGAGGAAGAGTTAAGCCCGTAAATGAATAATATTAATCGTATAAATATAAAAATTATTAAATAAGGAAAGTTCTCATTAATCAATAGAAAATTTTATTAAAATGAAAATATATAATTAAGTCAAATATATGCATTCAAGTTCAGAGGAAACTTTCATGTAATATTAAAATAGGGAAGTAAGTCTTTTAAAATATTTTTTCGAAGAATGACCGACTATCACAAGTCGACTAAAGTGGCGGCTGATAGCACAAAAATTCGCGACGTAAAAGAAAATTTCGGAGAATAAGTGCAGCTGCAGTGACCCGTGCAAGATGATTGACGAGAGAAACTGGCACGATCTTCGGGAGAGGCACGGGCTCAGTCAAGTTGCGAGTTTTTGTGCGCCTGACTTAACGGACGTATCGCGAAACTCTCTGTTAGACCTCGCGTTCCTTCTTTCCATCATTGTGATTCAATCGGTTCTTTTTTCCTGTCATCGTGGCACAAATCAGTAATTGAAAACGGTATAATTTTCAGATGCGTTCAGATTTCGATGCCACATGAAACCGAATCGTTTGATTGCGATAAATGAAAAAAAAAAAAACTGACGACAGAGCGTAAATTTCCTTGATATTTTTGCTGAGAAATCGAATTACTTAAAAGAATCAATTTCAAATTAATTAAAAAAAAATTGTACAGTATAAAAATAATTTTTATAATATAAAAATTTCTTGATATTTTTAAGCTATTCTATCTATAGAGGTAAAAATAAATCTCGCTGGAATTATGCTGTTAAAAACGGTTAAAATGCAAAAGGGATTTATTCCGTCGACGTTTTTTTAGGCAATACAGAAAATATCAAAATGCAGAAATTGCGGAAGCCGATTCAGAAATCGAGCGATAGCGAATATTTTTCATTAAAACGCGACGTGCGGAGTTTTCTCGGATAACGAGCGGTTTGCAAAGACCTATGCAAAAAGCCGACATCGAACGTCACAGCTGCTGTCTTCGCACCTTCCATATTTCTTCTTCGTCATTCCGTTTCGTCGATCGGCACTCCATCCTTTCGCTCTTTTCCCGAGGCAGCTGGAATCGACAGGAATTCTGTGTTTGACAATGCCCATCGAGTACGTTTGGTGGAATCAAATGACGTTTCTCGTGACAGGCATAAATTCGAGTTAATTGAATGGTTGCTTAATCGACCTTCATACACAATTTTTAATATTTTATTTTATTTCAAGAAAACATATATTTTTTTCTCTCACATATATAGAATTTTCCTTATAAAGATATTTTAATATTTTAAATGTCCTTTTTTTGTTGCTAAAAATGTTGTATTTCCGTTAATTCTGAAATAATTTTATCACACTGTTTATGACATAATAATTTATAAAAATTTAATCACATTTGATTAAAAATTAATTAAATATATAATATTAAAAAATAAAGTAACACCCTCCAATCTGTTCGAAAAAATCATATATTTAAGGCTGCAAGATTATTAAAAATTATCTGAAATCTATTAAATTTCTATTTAAATTTAAAATTTTTAAATAATAAAACTTCATATTTTTATTAAATTTAATATTATTTTATTAATAGTTCTTATCGGCAGATAAATTCTTTCTCTCTACGAGATAATATATACTTACTGATAGCTGTTCATCATAAAATACATTTCGTTATAAAAAAATCTTACAATTAAAAAATGGTTAACAATTTATAACACATGTTATTTTTCCATTTTATATTTCACAATGTTTCATATATCATATGAATGCAGTGTCAAAAAAAATATCGTTCCGATTGTTTGTTGACTTATTTTTGTTGCATAATTTCATGTTCTAAAATAGCCGTAAACAATTATTGATCGCGCTATCTTTTCCCTCAGCCACTCGTTCCGCTCGTTTTGCCATGACACAGCTGACACACCGAGTCGACACATCGAGTCAATCCCAAGTTTGGCACGTTCATCAAGCATCGCGATACACGCGTGCGTATTGTGCCGACGGGGTATTC